GAGATCGGGCTCGACCCTGGCATCGACCACTGCTCCGCGATGTCCCTGCTGGAGTCGCTCCGCGCGCAAGGAAAGGAGATCGTCTCCTTCACGTCCTTCTGCGGCGGCCTCCCCGCGCCCGAGTGCGCGGACGTCCCGCTCGGGTACAAGTTCAGCTGGAGCCCGAAGGGCGTGCTCAGCGCCGCGTCGAATGCGGCGCGCTTCAAACTCCGCAACGAGGTGCGTCCCTTCCTCATCCTCAATCCCGCCTTCCCACTGACAACCTGCATCAACTAGGTATGCGAGATCCCCGGGCCGGACCTCCTGCGAAAGCACTTCACCGACGTCCCGCTCACCAACGCCCGCTACGAAGGCCTCGCGAACCGCGACAGCCTGCCCTACGCGGACGCATACGGCCTCGGCGCCGCGCGCACCGTCTTCCGCGGCACCCTGCGCCTCCCCGGCTTCGCAGACCTCATGCACGCCTTCTCCGCGCTCGGCCTCCTCGACGCCTCTCCCTCCGCCGCGCTGCGCCTCCCGCACTGGCACGCGCTCACCCGCCAGGCGCTCCAGACACGCCTCGGTGCGCGCATCCCGGATGACCCCGCATCGCTCCAGTCCGCACTCGCCGCCGTGGTGCCCGCGCCGCACCGCGAGGCGACGCTGCACGCGCTGCGCTGGCTGGACATCGTGCCGCCCGCGCTCGCGCCCGACGGCGTGCACGCGTACGCAGCCTACGACGCGTCGCCGCCCGCGCTCGCGCCCGACGGCGTGCACGCGTACGCAGCCTACGACGCGTCGCTGCCCGCGCTGCCCACCACCCCCGCCGCGCCGCTCGACCTCTTCGCGGCGCTGCTCGCGCACAAGCTGCGGTACTCCCCAGGGGAGCGCGACCTCGTCGTGCTCTCGCACGAGATCGTCGCGCGCGCTCGGGGCGGGGAGGAGGAGGTGCACGCGTCGGAGCTCGTGGCGTACGGCGGCAGCGAGGGGAGCGCGATGGCGCGCACGGTCGGGCTGCCGGTCGCGTTCGCGGCGCTGCATGTTTTGGACGGGGGCGTGCGCGCGCGCGGGGTGCAGGCGCCGATGGAGCGGGAGGTGTATGCGCATGTGCTGGAGAGGTTGGAGGAGGCGGGGCTGGGGATGCGGGAGAGCGTGCGGAAAGTGAGGGGCGGGGGTGTGGTTGAGCGGAGCTTGGAGAGGCGGTGGAAGGCGATGGGGGAGACGGCATGAGTGGGGCAAATATTCGTGGTGCGCCTAGTTTACAACGGTGCGTGTAACATAATTGTTTGGACTTTCATTAGAGCATGGATAGGACGTCTGCAGAACTTCATCGATGTAGCAGCAGGTGACAAGCCTTGTACACGTAGGGTCTGAGCAGAGAGGGAGCATTCTAACTTGAAGATGTAACGACCACCAAGCTAGCGTCGTTAGACCCGCTTAGGTTGGTGATCGTAATGCCAGCTACTACCGCCGCGAGACCTGCCTTGAATAGGATGCGACTACGCTCGTTAACTAGTATCTTGATTCAGTGCAAGTTGTTTGTTTCTTCTCTAATATACAAGCAACAGGGCTAACATGATCACGACACAACTCACAGAGACCACTCGGAAAGTGACTAGTGAGCAAGGCCGTCTGTCGCGTCGGTAAAATCGCTTCTGTCTCCGATTGGGGTCACCACGCTGTTGAGTCCAGCGTATAGACGACTGAACGTGGGCTCCGACGCGGGTGGGTCTTGAACTTGAAGTGTTTGCCAGTAGATCTACAATTCCCATCGTACGCTTCGTCTGCTTCCGGAAGAGGGCCCACCTTCGTCTCCCCGTCCGGATATGTCGCAGGATCGTAGTACTGCTGCGCGTATTCCATCAACCTATCCGACAATCCAGTCAGAAGCAGCCCCCAGATATAACTGAACGCAATCCGCACCAGTCCGGCTTCACCTCCGTCACCGTCCGGATATACGGCTTCGTCGTCAACACGAACTCGTTGAATAGCACCCACTCCGGGCTAGTGTCGAGCCCACAGCTCGGGTGCGGCGACACGACCTGGCTGTCCTTCACCGTCGAGTACCTGTTCTTCTCGCCCTCCTTATGCGCGACCTGCATGAAGAACCCGCAGACGAGCGCTTTTCGGATGTTCGTCCGTAGCTCGTGCTCGGTCCGTGTGGTGACGAGCTCAATCTTGTGCCGCTTCATTATCCCCTGAAGCTGCATACGCACGTTCTCGGCTTCCTGCAGTGCGATTTCGGATAGGTAGTGTTTGAAACACCATTTCTTGTCGTGCTTGTCTGTGGGACACATGGGCGAACGTTTGGGATGTGGATCAATGGGCACGCACTCTTGTAATAGCGGTTGAACACGTTAATCATGGATCTTCTTGTATCGAACAGAATGCGGCTCCTTTGTGAAGGGGTTGATGACGTTCTCCTGTATCGGGGTAAGTCGGTATGCCAGGAGACAAGGCAGAGTGAGGACTTGCCATGTCCCTCAGCGCCTGCTCTGCGGTGACTTGGCGAGGATGAAAGCCAAGTGTTAGATCCCTGCCGTCAAGAGTGGGAGTTGTTGAATCGGAGGCTTGTGGCTTGCTGTCGTAAGAAGTCATTGGGGCGGGTAAAAACGAGACAAGGGGTGGCGGTCCAGCCTAGAGGAGAGCTGCAGAGCCGGCGCGTTGGGGCGTCTTCCTCTACATCACTGTACCACGTTGGCATCAGCTTGAGGCCATACGAGTGCGGCGAGATGTTTGACTTTGAGGGTGAGAACGCGTGTGCTGCGGTAGGCCTAGCTCTCACATGACCAGGCCGGCAGGCGAGATGATAATTTGGGGAGCGAGTTAAACGATGTGAACGACGACGGAAGGAGGAAGCTGAACGGCGTGGAGTACCGAGCGCTAGCGAAGTTTGCATCGGCGTGCTTCAATCCGGAGGATATAGACAGGTGACTTCGTCTCGTACTAGAGCAGCCTGCAGGATATCTGTATATTTTTGCTAGCTCCTAGTATAAGCATGAGTTTTCAAAGAAAGGTGGGTAGTATTCAACAACGCACCACTACTACTTCGTCCTCCGATCGTCGTGCTTGGATAGAGGGTTGCACTGCACTTTAACTCGTCCTGATCTCCCTCCTCCTCCGATTTCGGCGCATCCGTCTCAGGTTCCTGTGGAAGCAGTTTGGAATGCCTGCGCCCGGTCTGCATTGCCTCCAGATAGCGAAACACCTGGCGACCCGCCTCCTCTTGCCCTGGGTTCGTCACCTCAAACTTCTCGAGCTCTGGGAACAGCCGATCGAGCAGAACCGCAAGCTCAAAGCACACCGGACCGCCGCTCGCAGATATCCAGTCCAGATTGAGCCTCTTGGCTCTCGTCCGGCCGAGCACGGGCACCGACTCCGGCGATGGTAGCTGCGAGGTCTCGAGCGTGGGGAGGTTGATGATGCGCAGGTGCGGACAGCGTTGCGCGAGTTCAACCAGGCCACGGACTGTCGGTCGGCAAAGGGTGGTCAGGCAGCGCACATTGGGCGGACTCCCGCCCCCGATGCTGAGCCAGTCCAGGTTTGGCCACGCGCAAGCGAGCGCCGTGAGGTCGTTGTCGGATGTATGTGGTACGTGCGAGCCGAGGTCGAGTCCGACCGACTTCAGGCCTTTCAGCGCATAAAGGGGGGCGATGACATCACCCAGAATCGCCGTAGGGGATTGTGGCGACATCGTGGTGACTGTCAAGTTCAGAGAGCGTAAGCTCTGAAACAACTGGGCGCCCATTCGCGCTATACATCCTTCTAAGGCTGACATATCCGTCGAGCCCGCGAGAGTAACCTCCAGATTTGCCAGCGCAGCCAGACAAGCAGCAACGAGGAAATTTGCGACATCAATCGCATTCCCAGCAAGGTTGAGATAGCTGAGCTTCGGGAACCCAATCTGCAGGTCAAGATCGGCAGCGGTATGGCAGCCACCCAGCCGAATCGCCAAAGACATGGTTTCGAGGGGGCCTAGGCGCTCCAGGTGCCGAATCGCACCCACATCAAGGACGATATGGTTCCGGTCGGAAAGGCAGATATGATGCAAGTCGTGGCAGCGGCCGAGAAGAGGGATCTGCATCGAGGAGAGCGGGAATCTCTCGAACAAAAACAGGTCCGTCAGATGTGGCGCGGTAGTCTTCACAATGTCCAGAAACAAAGCAGCGGCGATAGGAGAGAGACTGGGAACTATGGGGGTATTTTTGTCGAAGGAGATCTGTATTTCGCGGATGCTGGGCGAAAGCAGTAGCGTCACCGGGGCGACATCAGAGAGCGAGATGTGTTCGGCGACCAGTTTCCGCACATTTGGCAGTAGTCCTTGGCCACTGCATCTCCAAGCGAGACGCATCCATACCGAGGAATGGATAGTGTCATGCTCTGAGTAAATCAGGCTTCGTACACGCTGGGCGTAGCACTGAAAGCGAGACCACTCGGCGCTGATATCCCCAACGAAGATCTGTGTGTCTGATTAGCAGTCTTCTCATTTTCCTATAAAGAAACACTCACATAGGCGTCGTTCACCTCCGTTAAGCAGGAGAACAGGCTTAATAAAGGCAGTACGTCATCCAGGGTACGCCAGAGGACATCAAGAGCAAGTTCTGAGAATGACCGGCATACCCTAGCACACGAAGCTAGTATTGCCCTATCTGCGCGGCGAGCGCGAAGCAATTCGAACGGAGAATATATCATGCAGAAGGGATGGGGCGGAAAAAAAGGAGAGGATGAGTTCAAGAAGCTCTGGACAGGTGAAGACGCGATTGGAGGCTGAAGACAACTCCATCCGTGCCAATGCGGCACCACGACTGGCGATCTGCAAATCAAATGAGATATTGACTAATATAAGCATCGGTATACGACTTACGCAATGTGATCCCAGTGGGAGTCACCGTCGTAGGCAGCCAGGTGAGAGTGGTGGTGATGGTGGTGGTACTGATACTACTGAAGAGGAACTTCCTACTGCACTCGCAAGCACTTCCATTTCCGACTATCGAGTAAGCCATTAGCTCCTGTTCCTGCATGGCCGGCTGGCCTAATGGTTAAGGCGTCAGTTTCCGAGTTAATCAGTCAGCTGGAGATTCCGGGTTCGACTCCCGGGTTGGTCGAGTTTTGTTTCTCTATGCAGAGTCCATGATTTATCCCACCCACAACTCCGACTCGCATTAAGGTGCCTGCCGTGATGCATCAAGCCGGCCGTTCAGGTGTGTTTTGGCCATGATCTGTCACGACCCGTCGCGGCTGTAAACTGACAGGGCATCAAGTTCAGACGCCGTGCGCTAGGTTGCGATAGGTGACCGCCACCGCGACAGTAACTTCGTTGAGCGGTGAAGATGTTGCATTGGCTGTGTATACGCAGGGTGATCTCAAGCTTGTGATCTGCGAGAAGCACCTAACTGCGCCAACGCGCTCCTAGGATCCGGCCAGAAAACTCGACATGTCGGCCGCGAGTCCGGGTCCGATCGATCCTCGTCTACCATCCAAGGCACTACCCTCGACGACTGCTTCACCTCTGACGGCGATGACACCAGCAGCTGTGCGCAGAGATGTACATGCGACGACTAATTCGCTCTGGGATCACTTAATTTTGGTCCCATCGCCACCGTTGCTATCCGGTTCCCGCCGGCACTCACACCGCGCCCTTCCCATCGTCGATGATGGCTTCCGAAGAAAACGCTGATGCAAAGCCCGAGCCTCCGTCTGTAGTACGTACACTCCCGACTTCTCCAACTTCCAGCTCGACGACGTCTGACGGCGTTTTGAAGCTCTATTCATATACAACCTTCAATGAAGCACTTTAAGCCTCAGGGCGGCGGGAGTGCGCCTCGGTGATGAACCAATCATTATTCTGTTTCAGCACTCTCATGTCCCAGAACAGCCACTGCAATCATGACGCCCTGCCGCCATGTCCAATCACGTCCAATCGCGCCCCTCGCCCTCATCAGTGAGATGCAGACCTGTTGTCCTCTAGCCGACCATAGCTTGCCGCCCGGTTCCTGGGGATACGGCATCCGCTTCCCTCGGGAGCCCTCGTTCTCCTTGGCCGTCTCCTTGTGGTCGTCTTGGTTGTCGTCCACCTCCATGTTCTGACGCTGGACGTTGTCTCCCCCCCTCTTGCTCCTGCCCTCCCTCCCTTCTTCTCTGGCTTTCTTTTTGGGAGCGTGCCTGTTCACTCTGTCTTCTCGGGGCTCGCGCGTGGATGCAACTACACCCATGGATTCTCTAGGTCGAATACTGGTGGTCCTTTTCCTTCTTCAGTTCTCCGTCCTTCAGTGCCAGGCGCAAAGCACTCACCTTTTCAACTGGGGCTTTCCTGTGAGTGTCCATGCCTGCGAGATGTGTCGCTGCCGCGTAGTGTTTAACACCCTTTCCCCCGGACGGTAATTGCAGTTCACGTCCTCAAATATACAGGAATGCCAGAAATCTCCGATCCGGCTCATTCCGCTGAACACCTCGACGTCCTTTGTCGGAGTGCCTCCATACTTCATGCTCGCCATCGAGGTCGATGGCATCACATCGGTCGATCCCATTGGCGACGATGTCAACCAGTTGTCCTGGCAGAACACCCACCGCCGTGGTACGTTTCCGGGTTTTTTTGGTCGGAGCCAGTGTCTTGACCAGCCTATGCAGATGCTCGGCTTCTGCTCACTGTCATGGACTCGAACGGAAGCATAGCGGGGTTCCCCGGGCAGTTTTTCAACGTCATCGGTGCGTAGCGCGCGCGTCGCCTGCGCGTAGTGATGTACTAAACGCGCGTTGTGCTTCGACAGCTGCGTCTGCTGGGGCCGACACTTCCTGCCTCATCGCGGCCCCGACGCCCTCAACGCCTGTCATCACAGCAAACGTCACGCAGAATTTGCAAACCTGCCAGCCGTGGGGGCTGAGCATCACGGGGGGCACCAAGCCGTACAATGTAACACTCGGGCAGCTCAACGCCCCTGTGATCACGAACGTCACGATGGGCCCAGAGGACGACGTGTTCACGTACATAAACCGCGCCTCGCCGAACCAGCCACTGATCGGTGAGTACGGTATCCGGGACTAGGACAGCGAGAGCGCAACTGACGAGATATCTGTGTGCAGCCGCCGTTGTAGACGCGTAAGTCGAAACGTGGATACGGGATTCGAGGATGTGGGCTGACAGATCGCTGCTAACAGGACCGGTCAGTGGGGCGTGTCTACCGTCGCAGTCAGCACGGGTGGATCCACGGACGCAGACTGCCCCGGGCTCGTTTCAATTTCCAGCACGAAAGAGCAAGTCGCGGCACAAGAGGCCGCCGCTGCTGCCGCCGCTCAAAAGACCGCAAACAAGGCGCACGCCACGACCATCGCGCTTGCAATCGTGTTCGGTGTGATACTTCCGATACTCATCGTCGCTGGCGTGGGGTTCTGGTGGTGGCGGCGCCGCAAGCGGCTCTTGTCACACGGCAGGGCATCTAGCCACCAAAACACGAAGCCCTCGCCGTACGACCCGGAGCAGCAGAACGGCGGCGCCGGGCGGCCGAGCCTGAACCTGGACATGTCGCAAGTCCACAGTCACAGTGTGTTGCGGGTCAACAGCGAGGCCCGTCCTTCGGCGACATGGGCCGTCGACGCTGCCAGCGATATCGAGCCGCCACTCCGCCAGACGGACAGCCCGACGTCGATGGACATGTCCACCACTGAGCTCCGACAGACCATCCCAACCCCGTACCTCACGCCCACGACGCTCGCGCGCCCCGCACCGACAATCAAGAGCCCGCGATCGCCCCCAGACCTCGCGGGCCCGGGGGCGCTCATGACGTCGAACTCGACATCGCCCGCCGCGACGCTGACCCCCGAGGCACGGTACCGCAAGGCGCTCGAGGCACATGCGGGCGCGCAGGCGGCGCGCGCACGGCTGATCTCGCAGACGAGCCTCGGCTCAAGCGTGAGCGGGCAAAGCCCTGTCGCGGGCCCGTCGACGCGCCCCGCCCTGCGTTCGAACTCGGGTCCGCCGGCGGTCATGCCGCGCGCGGTCCCAATGCAGCGCTCGCAGTCAGCGCTGGTCATGCGCACGTTCCCCGGGCAGCCGCTTCCACGGCGGGGCGGGGCGTCTCTGCGTCTGCCGCCTGTGGCGGCGATCTCAGAGGACGAGAACGGGATCGTGGACGGGCCGGATATCATCATACAGCACCGCGACGGGGGTATCGTGGAGGAGCTGCCGCCGCCGTATTTGGACAGCTACTCGCCGCGGGCGCGGGCGCGGGCGAGTGCGGGCGGGAGACCAGTGCCGGGCACACCGCGGTCGGCATCATAGCAGTGTGCAGAGCCATGGGGAGGGAAGGGTGTGTGGGTGAAATGAGGATGTCACTCTAGGATACCTTTGGTTGTTTCTGGCCTGCCTGGCTCAGGCCGTACGGGGCTTTTGCACTTGTTATTTTGTAGCCACGGTTCGAACACGGTCCGTCGAGGTCGTCACTCTCCCTTTCCGCTCCTTTGCCCCCGTTGTGTACCTTACTAGTGCTAAGTGTGTTGTATGAATAGATATCCCGTCCTTGACGACCCTGTCATGCGTCGTATACCCCCTCAGTTGAGCGAGCGGACAGCATAAAGGGTCCACACAACTTGAAGTTTCGTGACTAGAGAATATGCCTACGCGGTGCAGGATTTTGCGAGGAGTCGAAGATGGCAGGAAGGGCGAGTACTAGCGGACAGCCACGCGAGACCCGCGCAATATACCTCAGTCTTCGGCCGCGGACTGTCATGCAACCTCTACCTCTCGGTTCATCTTCAAACTTGAAGATAATATACTTCCAATGTAGAGTTATAAATTGACGGAAGAAGGGTGAGGGGAAGTACGGAAAATGAGGAATCAGTACTAATGCTCAACGTTTGCATTGCATGTTTCTCATCGTATTACCCGTCGTCCGACGGTACGCTCTGGAGTCTGGGCAAAGACTCGGATCATATATGAGAATATTCTGGCCGTGTCCAGCTCGGCGTAGACTGATCTCGGCGTTGCTTTGAACGCTTGTCGTTGTTCCAATATGTTTTACGTCGAAAACAACACTAGTTTAAAGAAAGGCGGCTATAAAGCTCTATAGTTCTGGAATTTGAAGATCACCATATACGGAGTCTTACATCAGCCGCTTTCGTCGTCTGAGGGCGGGCGAGCGCCGCGGCACTGGTCGCGTCCTACTGCAACTCCCCCTCGTCCCCGGTCTGCTCTTCATCATCATCCACGACGACGGTAACGCCGCATACACGCTGTTGTTGGCTGTCTGACCTTCCCACTCTACCTGGGCGGCGCCGCTGTCTGCTATCGCCCGACGGCCATTTGGTCTTGACGCCCAGTAATGTCGACCGCAAGCCACACTCCCTCCCTCACCCCCTCCCGCTCCCCGACGCCCGAGCCGCCGCTCCAGCCAGACCATTTCTACGGAAATGAAGAGATCCGGCTGCCCCCCTCGCCCAGCTCCGACGGCCGCACATGGCTCGATCCCGCAGACGACCCCCTCGCCCAGCGCGGCATCCCCGTCTTCCGGCCGACGATGGCCGAGTTCGCAGACTTTGAGGGCTACATGAACCGCGTCGAGCCGTGGGGCATGCGCAGCGGCATAGTGAAGATAATTCCTCCCAAGGAGTGGTCAGTCCTCGCGCTCCTCATTGTGCGATCGGCGCGACAACTTACCACACGCCCATTTTCTTTTCACATTGCGGTATGTGTGTATAGGACGGAAGCGTTACCTTCGGTCGTGCCGCAGCTTGAGAACGTGAAGCTCAAGCACCCGATCGAGCAACATATGCTCGGCCAGGGTGGCCTCTTCCAGCAACAGAACATCGAGAAGCGACGCGTGCTGAGTGTGCGCGAGTGGGCGGAGCTCTGCGCAAAGGACGAATGGCGCGCGCCGGGAGTAGACGAAGTTGGGCTGCACGCGCGGGCGGCGAACGGGAATGCGAGGACGCGAACCCGGAGAGGCCGCAAACAGAGGGCGTCGGAAACAGCTGAGCCCGAAACACACGAGGAGCCCGCGGTTACGATAAAGCGTGAGGAGGACGAGATTGACGCGGAGGCAGCTGCAAAAGCCCTTATTTCACCCCCCAATAGCAGTCGCACGCTCTCGCCTCCTGAACAGATCGAGGAACA